ATTAAAACGCAATGCAGTGAGAATTACAGTCAGTTTTCAATTGTTCAGTTTTAGTATCTGGCTGGATCATGTCCGCTGTTGACCAATCAGGTTTGATTTACCCCTTCATACTTGTACTTTCCCCCTTGTCTCTGCATTCATTAGATAATGTATATGTGTATTTGATAAAATCCAAATGATAAAGCATAAATATGAAGTGTTCTATATCCGATTATTTTAAAGGACAGTAATGTCCTGGTACAGCGAGGACAGAATTAATAGATAAGTACAAAGGGCTGTTGTGGGTTTCATGCTTTTGGACTGGGTTTTCAAAACGCAGTGTGCATCTGCTTGGGGGTTGAATTAAGTTCACTGCCAAATACAAGCTTGTGAATGAAAATGGTCATCTTTATGTTTTTTCTCGTAAAAACTGGTTTGTCGAAAATAAAAATGAACAGTTTGAGAGACGTACTCCATGCAAGTTTTTAAAGTGTGAGTGGCAGAAAACCCTTGCGTTAGGAGACTGTTCAATGGGAAATATCTTCAATTTCAATTACCAGTTTCCAAAAAAAAATTAAAAAGCAGGAAATGTAATTAATGATAAATATCAATTATTAGTAATTAGTAACCTATGTCTATTTGAACTTTTTTAAACTATAGTATTTTAGTAATGGGGAGATCAGAATGTGTCTATCGTCAAAAGCCCTTATAGTCAATAGTCCTATGAGGATGAGAGAAAATGGGAATGTGTGTGAAAACAAGAGTGCTGGATTGACTGTCAGTGTCTGCCTTTCAATCAATTAAATAAATTAATTCACTATTCAAAGAAACTTAAGAAAAAATTAAGTTAACAAATCCATTCATCTAAGATTTTTTTTCTTGAAAGTTAGGCAATGAGAAACAAAAATAAAAACATTGAAAATACGATTAATGTAGTTATTGAGGGTTGTCAAAAAGTTTAGGCCCTGTAATAAAATAAATAATAAAAAAAATGGTATTACTTTAATTTCATGGTCCCTTCTCCACATTTCATTGACTAAGGGCCTACTCACACTATGCTATCCGAACCGTGCCCAGGCCCGTTTTCTGAATCGTTTGAGAAGTGCTCTGAATAGTGCTTGAGAGTGCTCTGAATAGGGCTCAGGCACTGTTCACTTGGCCGGGCCTGGCCCGGTTAGAAGAGGTGTGCCAGAGTGCGGTTCACTTAGTCGCTTGTAGTGCAAAGCTTGCCTGAGCTCGAAACTGAAAACGTGACTTTTCCGGGATTGTTTCATGTGGATTTATCAATCAGTCTTACTGTTTAATAAATGCAAACTGTCGTAGATTATTAAAGACGCAAACCCCTCACTGCATGTCAGCTGCACCTTTAACAAACCTCCTAATTTCTGCAGCACAAGGACTTTTTGATTGTTTATAAGCGTCAAAAGTGGCCTAACCTAAGCGATCTCCACTTTGATGAGCGAATGCGCTTACTGAACAGCGCATCATCGATAACGTAAGCGTGCTCAGGCCCAAATGTAATGTAAGCGGGCCGTTGGGGAAGACGGGAGTGGGGACAAGCGTGCTTCGGCCCGGTTCAAGGCAACTTTGTATATAGTGTGAGTACGCCCAAAAGTTACATTGCATCTACATACCAACTAATTCTCAATAGAGTATTAGGACCTGTTTACACTGCCAGTTAAATGTGACTCAATTCAAATTTTTGGTTCATATGTGACGCAGATCAGATCGGTTCTATGACTGTGTAAACACAAATAAAATGAATACATTTGCATATTAATTTGCATAATCAGTTTCAGGCCTCCTTCATATGTGGAAATAAATCAGATATAAATCGCATAAGTGACAACGCGACTATCATGTAAGCAGGCAGATCAGATTTATTGAGGCATTCCATTTTGTATGTCATTAAACTTGCGACATTGTGGTACTTCTTCGCAGTTTAATGATGTAGAAGTAAGATCGTGTATGGAGACGCCGACGCGGTAAACAACTACAACAGAGAAAACAAGGAGGGAAATGGTCAGTCGCCACAATTTGCTTCCAAAAGACCCGAGATCTCTCGTATCCACAAATTCCTCTGAATGGTGAAGGAAACCATATATAAACAATAGGCGCAAGCTGCGGACGACGCTTTCCCTCCTCATCCGCCTCAAAATCATTTTAAAGTTGGGCGAACTTTTCGCAGAGCTAAAAGAAAGACAATTTCTTCCAACATGGCTAGTGTGGCGCAGATGCTAGAGCTCACCTTTGCGCATGTGCGATGTTGTAAATTGTATGGCAAGTGTAAACGCATGAATCGCATATAGGTCACAATTAAAGACTGTGTAAACGGTCAGGTGCAAAAAATCATATATAGGCAACAAATCGGAATTGGGCATCAAAACCTGACAGTGTAAGCTGGGCCTAAGTAGATTGTTTACTTAATGTCTGCTGACACTGCTCCACCAGCAGACATTCCAATGACTATAAGAAACTTTGCAACTTCATGTCAGCGTAGAGTAATCCTAACTCGACCTTACTGTCTACTAAAACTCTGAGAATCAGTTACCATATAATTTCAATGTAACAAAATCAAATCAACAAAGTGTGTTAAAGGCACCATCAAAATAAAGTGATACCAAATTATTAGTTCACTTTTTAGTTTTATTGGACGTTAAAATCTTACCATGTTTGAAGACCTATGAGGCCGATCACAGTATTTTTTGCAATGAGAGGCGCCTTTTTAAAATGATTTACAAATGGCCACAAGCATTTTGCGTCCCTTTTTTTTTTCACCCTCCGCGCCTCGTGTTTTAACCGTCTGCTGTGCCTCGCTTTTTTGCTGTTGTGCACCGTGCGCTCGCAGTTGAAAAAAATAAACTCTGAGTTGAAAAAGAGCATCATGTCAGTTGCTGTTTCATTCTCCAATCAAATGAAAGTAGAGGCGGGGTTTCCGTTGAGGCGACTGCAGTGTTTGTGTTGTCAAGACAACTAGGGAGACTTTTGAAGATGGTGGAGAGACTAGTGGTCGCTGTTTTTTAATTATGCGGTGCTGTATGAATCACAAATCTTGAATATCACAATATTATAAAATTTAAAAATTATATTATTGTCTACAACAACACTCTCAAACAATACGCAGCTAATGCAGTCCTTGCCTAGTGATGTAAAAAGCACACAGAGGTTCTTTTTTTCTCGTCAACAAAAAAGGCAGTGAGAGGCGCCCAATGCGTTCAGTGTGATCGACCCCTAATTATTACATTCTAAAGGTATTGTGAACAGCATTATGATCATTTCTGTTTTATTAATAATAATTTTATCACTATTTGTTTCTGTGGTCCTACTAACTTTTAAACCTGTCTCAAATCCTCAAACTGTCTTTGTTTTACTTTTCTGATAATTGCCAATTTATAAACATCATCAAAAAGCTTCAAATCCAAATCAAATAAAATGATAGCAGTACTTCAGTATTACACACCTTTATTGAAAAAATATTGATTGAAAATGATGTGAGCCATAATGTCGTTTCTTAGCATTTTTACAGAGTACTGTATAACACCAGTGATAGTACTGCAGTGTAGAATAGGGGTTTGAGTATTTTCCGAAACGTGTGTTTTACCGTGCTGGGGTTATGCAGTTCTCAAGCGCTGCCGTCTGCATTGATCCAAAGCGGGAGCGTGTCTGCAGGGCCGAGGCTGTTTCAGGGCTCCTGTTGTGCTGTACACTGTGTTCACTCAGGCATTTCAGTGATGGAATTTAAAGTAGAGAATTCACCGGAGACTGCTGCACAGCGAGCGGTGCGGGCAGACGGCCGATGGGGGGGTGTATTTTTAGCGCTTGGCCACCTCCACCACCCGAGCATTATTAGGTGCAGAAAACTTCCGCCTTCGGTGTATCTCATTCACAGGTCAGAGAGCAGAGACTTTGTTTTCTGCAGCAGTGGGGATCTCAAATCCCTTTAGAGTTGAGCTGATCCTGGGTCATTTAGACGGCTGCAACTGAGCGCACGGAGCTCCCCATCCATACTCGCTGCTGCATTTATCAGAAAAGAACCTGCGCTGCCCAGGAGGCGCCGTTATCTTAAAAAGCCCTCGCTTCGGGGCACCGCCGCTGCAGGGGATTGTCTGTTCATTTTTTTCTAAATTGATTACGCCAGGGCTACTGCTGCGCGTAGCCGGGCTTTTCAAGTCAAAGCTTTTTCCTAATGCTCTCTGGTCATTAAGCACCTAAACAGTCTCTCAGAAAGAGTGGGAGATTACAGAGCGTGTCTGATTTCATAAGACATCATCTTATGCAGGGTGTGGCAGCCACGTTGCTCACGGCGGTTCACTGCTAATCAAAGTGTCACACGGGACATTGACGATATTGCGAGTGTCACGCAAGCAGTGAGCGTTTCTTAAATGGGCTTTCATTATGTGTGGCAGCCACATCTCACTGACTTTGACATGAGTGGCAGCTCAATGCAAGATGCTTCTTTTGAATTAAAGCCTCTTCTGCCAAAGCTTTAATTACACCAAGAGTTTTTTTTTTTCCTCTTAAATGTCTAAGATTAAACGCAGAGCCTTTTCTGTATCTGCGCTCTGTGCTTTTATTAATGTGGCACAACAGAAGTATGAAAGTGGAGCAGCTTTTAGCCTATTTGATGAAGACGTTCTGGCCCGGAGGTTGTCTCTAAAATTGGGAACGTGGCTTGCATTCCGACCATACCTTTAGTGTCTGCTCTCCAACTTAATGCGCAATGTCATTTAGAAGTTGCATTGAGCAGTTAATCCTTTTTTTCCCCCTCTCATGAACTTTGATGTTATCAGCACCTTCACGTCGCAAGGGAAACCTGGGAGGAAGTGCACCACTTCTGTTTCCCTGATCCAAAGATAACGTCTTCTCCTTTCTCAGTCTCTTTCACACACACTGTCAGTTTTCCGCCACGTCTGCCTCTTTCACACATCAAGTTTTTGCATCCGACTGTTTTTATTCCATCGTCTTTTGTTTGTTTAAAGCTCTTCTGTTTCACTGTACCTCATAACTCTTTCCATACACAGATTTTGACTTCAGCGTTCCCGGCTCCATGAAGCTGCACAATCTTATTTCAAAGTTGAAGAAGTGGATCAAGATCCTGGAGGCCAAGACAAAGCAGCTGCCCAAGTTCTTCCTTATAGAGGAGAAGTGTCGTTTCCTTAGCAACTTCTCGGCTCAGACTGCTGAAGTGGAGATCCCGGGAGAGTTCCTCATGCCCAAACCCACACACTATTACATCAAGATTGCCAGGTAACAATCAATACACGCTAGGGAAGGGGTTGTGCTGCTCGACTGATCATCAGGTCAGCCAATAACTGACTAGTCGATCTGTCGTAGGGAAGCCATGAATAATGGCGTTCTTTCCTTACCTGATGTACTTCGTTCATAAATGTTTTATTTATGTTTTGCTTAAAATTTGTTATAGACTAGGGTTGAAAGATGAATTAGATTTGATATAATATTGCAATATTATAAAACATTATTTTTTTAACCATTATTAATTACACAAAAGTAATGAGTTGGTCATACTATATAATCATTTATTGTCTGTCTTTGTTAAATGCATATACAGAAGATAGATATAAAATAGCAATATTGGTGAAGTAAAAATTACTTAAAGCCCTGGTCACACTAAGCCGAGATCAAAGAATCTAGTGGTGATATAAACAGACTGTGTTGTAGCTTCACGTTGGCTGTTTTTCCCCTTTTCTACCCAAAAGCTGTGAGTGAACACTAAATGGCAGGGTTTCCCAGGGGTCCTAATCTAAATTTTAAGCCTTAAAAAGACTTATATTCACTGTTCTTGGACTTATATTTTTACACAGGTCTTTTTTTTTTCGATGTCTATGTAACACTATCCTCTTGTGCTCATTTAAATTTGTCTTTGTTGTTGTGTTGTTGTAGTTCTTTGTAGTTCTATTTGCTAGTCCAATTGAACCTCTAAATGCCATCTAAAATTTTCCTCTAAAATGAGCAGTTTTATCAAGCTCCTATGTATATGTTTAGTAAGATCACTTTTATGGCAAAAAAAGTCATTTTCTTGATCTTTAAAGTGAAATATCTCAACATAAACAAAGGAGGCTGAGAATTGTTTTTTAAATTTTTGATGGAAATTTCAAATGGCACTTAAAGGTTTTTATATCTGAACTCTTCAAATGTAATTAGCTGAATTTCAACTACAAATGAGACAAACATACAAGGTAATGTTGATTAGAGAAAATGTATGAAACGCAAAGAAAAAAAAAAGCCTGGCAAAAGCCCACCAATGGCTCGATGGTACCCATTGGCCAACAATCCGCTCAGTGTTTTTCTGCCTTAAGATAATTTTATTAATTTGGTCAGCCCCCCTAGGCTGGACAAATTAGTTGATTAGTCATCATTGCAACCCAACTTAAATATTTCAAATGTTTAACTTCACGCAAGGGGTTTTTGATTGAAAGTTGTTTTTTTTTTTTTTTAAATCCTGCCGTTGGAGTTGTAAGCTAGAATCCAGCTGAGACCCTAATTTTCAGTAATTTATTCATCACGTAGCCATCATTCGCTCTTTCACACCCTCTTACTTTACCCCCTAAGGTTCATGCCCAGGGTGGAGATTGTTCAAAAGCACAACACAGCTGCTCGACGCCTCTACATCCGCGGGCACAACGGCAAGATCTATCCGTACTTGGTGATGAATGACGCATGTTTGACAGAGTCCCGCAGAGAAGAGCGTGTGCTGCAACTCTTGCGGCTACTCAACCCCTGCCTGGAGAAGAGAAAAGAGACCACCAAGAGGCACCTCTTTTTCACAGGTAATTCAGCAACAGCATGGATCATCCACAAATCTTCCATTCTTCCCAAAATGGCACTGACAGGAGCTATTTATGTCAGTGGTTTGAACATGACCTTTTAGCTGAATGAACAATGTTTTTTACATTTATTAAATAAATACTAAATCAAAATAAAATAAACATTAGAATAAATCAAATACATTCTGCTTTGTACACTTAAGCTTTTTGTGCAGAATGTTGCTGTTTGGACAAAAATAACCAGGCAAATTTACATAAAGTTACTCTAAAGTGTATTTCGGAACATTTTAATTTTAGTCCTTTGAATTTTCTTCAAGGTGCACATAACGTTATGCTGAGTTAAAATAATTATCACTTAAGAGTAAGTTGTGTTAGTAGTAGGTTGTCATCATGACCAGGGGATGCTGATCTAGTATACTAATAGCATAGCCACAGCCATATCACCCTGCAGACCTGTTACTCACTGTAGCTAAGCAGGGCTGAGCCTGGTCAGTACCTGGATGGGTGACCACATGGGAATACTAGGTTGCTATTGGAAGTGGTTTGTGTGAGACCAGCAGTAGACGCTTAAAAGTGAAAAGGACACTATACTGTTTATGGGTTTAAAATAGTATGGGTTTAAAACCGGTATCAGGGCCGATTTTTAATTTTGGCTTCCATGTCATACCCATCTACTAAATTGGCTGGATCACTGTCTCTCTACTCCAATAGCTGGTGTGTGGAGAGCGGACTGACACCTTTGTTTTGTGGCTGCCGTCACGTTATCCAAGTGGATGCTGCACACTAGTGGTGGTGTGGAGAGACCCCCTCTCATGATTGTGAATCGCTTTGGGTGTATGGCTATACACGATAAGTGCTCTGTATAACTACACACATTAAATTACATACTTGTACATAAGCTCATTCTTCCTCAAATCTTCACATGCACAGAAATAACCAACAATTTGAATATGTTTTATTACTTTTGACATAAGATTGTGTATTTGATATTTGATGTGAATGAAAACTGCCTTTCGACAGCAGGATTTTAGTATGTGATTTGTGTCTGTGCGCTTAAATGTACATGTGGACTTTAAACACATGAAGATGTTTTATTTGTTTTTTAGTATCTGAGGCACAAGCTATAAAGGGACAACCATATTCTATGAATGGGGTGTAGAGCAACAGCCCTGGAGTACTTTTTTTGAGAACAGATTTGTGCGCGTTAAGCATCCGTTTAGACAACATTAGCACTTGTCAGCTTTAATTGTGGGGAAAACTCGATAATTTTGAGCTTTTGTCAGCTTTCCGGTTTAAAATAATTTTTGTGACAGGATCAAAATCGGTGACGTAGCGCAAATCTGCTAGTGGAGTGATGATGCGTCAGTATCTCATTATTATCCATAGCTGGGTTTATTATTCATGAGAGCACATGCTTTCTGAAGGCAAGGCAGACCTGCTTTGCTGTGAGACCCAATGACTGGGTGAGACCACGTCCGTGCACGGCACGGGTCGTATGTGTTTGTTTCCACAATCCACTGGGTTTGTTGCAAGGTTTTCCATGCGATGCTGTCAGGGCCCATGCAGCAAAGCTGTTGGTTTGCAGCAAGCATTTTCGTCTGTAGATCTGTACGAGAATTGGAGAATGGCGAACACTGTCTTTTATTAGTTGAGTTTGTTACCATTCAGACACATCACCTATATCCATGCTGCCATGTTTGCCTATGTTTAAAATCCCCTGAATTACCGGAAGGGTTAATGGTTGAAATAGACAGGGCAAAATACCTGCAGCACTGCTATCCACTGTGTCTGCATTCAGACCTGGGCATTAAGGAGGAAAGAAGTCCTCCTCATTTATAGTGTTTATATAAACATGGTTATTTTTTATAATAAAATAACAAATTGTGGTTATGAGTATATTAAATTACGAATAACAAATGTAGCAGGACATTAACTTACTGGTTATTTCTTTGCATTGCATGGAAACTATAAAATCATGGTCTCCTTATGGTTTGTGTCTCATTTTTGAGCCAACTGACAACAGGTGTTCGTTCCCCTCCTTATCCCCTGCTCTGCTGGCCACCCCCACTCCTCCCTCTGCTCATAGCGCTCCACGCCCATCTTGGAGCATTTTTTTTAAACATTTTGAGGTAGACTTTAACCAAAAGAGGGCAGTTTCATGGCCTTTTAAAGAGATGTAAAAGAAAACAGCACATGTTTACTACTACCCAAAAGGAAGTGTATAATGAATACGGTATAAATAAAGCATTTTAAACAGACACTTTCTTGTGACACTGAATTTATACTGTATTTTGTAAATGACCCCTTTAAAAATACTTTAATTTTACAATAAACTCTTTCCTCTAGCTAGGCCTAATTTGAACTGCTGCATGCATGCATTCTGATCTGCCCCATTTGAATGCTGTCCATTTGCTCTCAATGCTGGACTCAATGGCCTAGTTGCTCTGAGACAGATTGGGGGAGATGGAGAATAGAGGAATAGAGAGTGAAGCAAGATTGAGGTGAAAAGTACCAAAAAGCTGTGCAATGGTAACAGTCGAAGAAAGAGAGGGGACTGGAGCAGAATGAATAAAAATGAGGTTGCTCTTCTCCCTGTGGAGGCTGGGGGAGGAAGATCCAAATTGTATTTCCTGTGATAGACACATTAAAGGTCAGAGGTCAACAGTGCCACCTTTAAGCTTTAAATGAAAAATCATGGCTTGTTTTTTGTCCTCTTCTGAACTGCAAAGATAACAGTTTGAGTTTATGCTGCAGTGGAATTAATAATCATTAAATATTTAGGTTAAAGAACGCCAGGCTGCTTAATATGCAAATTCTCTTTTTATCATGCATTAATGCCTCTTACTAAAATTATTTATTAGATGTGTATGGATGTTCCCAGTGGTCGTGTGACATGCTTTTCTTCTTACTCCACAGAGCCTTGTTTTTTTTCAGGCTCTCAGTTTTCAGGCTCTCAATTTGTCTTGTTTAAAAAGGATATGACTCTGTTAATGGAGCGATTGTATAAACAACTCTGTGAAAACATTTAGAGGTATTTTAGGTTGTCTTTCAGGTTAACAGTGCTTTTTCAAAGCCAAGTAGAATCCATTAGATGCTATTTAAGAATAGCTGCTGAAAGTTTATAGCCGGTGGGATTTTGAATTGCATCATATACCAGTGAAGTACATCCTCCTAAAATCTGTTCTCTTCTCAGTCCCAAGGGTGGTGGCGGTGTCTCCTCAAATGCGGTTAGTAGAGGACAATCCATCGTCTCTGTCTCTGGTGGAAATCTACAAGCAGCGCTGTGCTAAGAAGGGCATTGAGCACGACAACCCCATTTCCCGCTATTATGACCGGCTTGCCACTGTTCAGGCGAGAGGAACACAGGCCAGCCATCAGGTATACCATATAATGATGACTGTTTTAAAAGGGTCATAAGATGAGTACACTCAAAAAAGGATGTTTTTTGTTTGTTCAAAGTATTTAATTAAAATGAGCTGGAACAACACAATTGCTAAGGCTTTTTTTGCATTAACCTAATTGTTTTATGTTCAATCCACCTAAAATTGTTATAACTTATGAGTTAACTTAATTCCTTCATGTTGAACCAAAATAAATCGATGTGGAACTATAACTATACACCTAAAATATAATTTTTTTGCTGTTTATAAATATTTTACTATATTATGCCACTGTGTTGAAGTGGCAGTTCACCCAAAACTAGGGTGAATTAACCTTTTAACAAGGAAGTTTCATAAAATTATTATATCTAGTCATCCACTATATTTTTATCTTGTTATTTTATGTTTGAGGCCTTTTATGTTAGGATCACCTAAGCTAAACATGTCTGCATTGATAACAGGAATTAGAAGAAAGGAAATACATATTTAAGTAGTGTAATGTTATAATGCAGTGTCTTATATATTAATTATATATGAAGATAACCTTTACCTATAGAAATAACCTATATACATGCTGATAGAAATAATTGAACAATAATAAACTACACTGATGTACAGTATGACGTGATGGCAGATTCAAGCACACAGCTTCAACCTAATTATTAATTTGTTTAGGTTTATCATTTCAATAAGAGAACAAAACCAATCAACTTCAGGTAATCAAAAAATAATTTTAAACCGATGCATTAGAGCTAGAGTGTCACACTCAGTTCCTGGAGGGTCGCAGCCCTGCACAGTTTAGTTTCAACCCTGCTACAAAACACTTAACAGAAGGTTTAAAACAAGCCTGAATGACTCAATCAGTTTGATCAGGTGTTTTTAATTAGGGTTAAAGCTAAACAGGGGCTGTTTCTAAAAATGGGTTCTTCAGTGTTCTTGCGTCCATGTGTTCTCGTGTAACGTCATCATCAACTGCCAAAGTTTGGTTCCAATACCCTAGACTGCATTAACGGAGGATGCGTGAAAGTTCCCGGATGTGTTCTTGATATCGAGGATGCATCGATGCAGCTTGGGAAGTCTCAGTAGTCAAAGCGCAGCATTTTATATAGATTTATTATTAAAGTTGAGATAAAACTCAGGAGATTCCCTAAATGAAACTGTTAAAGTAAACATCGACACGAAAAATCTTTATAAAGGCATAGACACATTGAAATTTGTATTAAACTTTAAGTTTTATAAAAGTTTTATTTGTATTGTACAAAGTTTATTTGTAAGCTCTTTATGCATAGTATATATTGGAAAAAGGTGAAAAACAATAAAATTGTTGTATGAATGCTGTAATATTTAAATCATTTTGCAATTAAAACCCGTGAAGGTCATGCGACCATCAGGAAGAACCAGGGAGGAACGCAGCATCTCATTTTTCACCGGATGCATTTTCTGTTCTCACAGCCTCTCGAGTTTATTCATCCAAGGTAACTTGGCAAGAACGCTCTTTACAAGAACACGAGTCCATTCTCTGTGTTCTTGGAATTAAGAACCAGCCAGGATGGAGCTGTGGCCCTACAGGAACTGAGTTTGACATTTGTGCATTAGATAAATTAGAACATTTACTAGTAGGCTAAACATCTAAATATGATTGTGCATTATGTTTCGAAAGCTGACAGATATTGTGGAGACTCAGGATTCATGACTTATTTCTATCAGATTCTCTATCACTCATGGCATTCAGTGCTTCTAATATCTTTAACATCCACGAATGTCATTTTAATCCTTGTGACTTTATATGATAACCTCTATTTTAATGAGTGAACAGTGTTTGCTAGCAACATACAAAGTTAAACATCAACAGCACATAAATTCAGGTTTTATAAAGCAGGTCAGTTTGGCCTGCACTTTAGGTATGAATGGCCAGTTTTTTGATCTGGTTTTATTTTTACACCAGAGAATTATAAATCAGACAATTTTAGTCAATGACTGGGGAGACCTTTTTATTGTAGATCTGTTATGTACATTTGTGAAGAAGAAGACTCTAGGGCGGGTTTAGTGTTATTCATAGTGTACTGGGTCAGATTTAATATGTAAAGATTTTTTGCCAATTTTTTTATTTTATATAGATGCATTATAATGTGGAGGCATTATCTAAACTGAGAATTTGGGGAAAATAAGAGTGATACTTTTTGGGAGAAAATTATTTTTTATTAATTGTTCCTCCTATCTCGTAAAGTGTTCAATGATTATTTATTCTTTCTTCTTTTTAACCATTTTTCTGTGTTTTAAGGTCCTGCGTGACATTCTGAAGGAGGTTCAAGGTAACATGGTTCCACGCAGCATGTTAAAGGAATGGGCGCTGCACACTTTCCCCAATGCCACAGACTATTGGACCTTCCGCAAAATGTTCACCATCCAGCTTGCTCTAATTGGCCTAGCGGAGTTCATGCTGCATCTAAACCGCCTCAATCCAGAGATGCTGCAGATCGCACAGGTATATCAAGAAACTGATCTCGTACCTGACACTAACTCTCATTCCTCAAATCATACACACGTCCAATCCGTCCAAGGATATTTGGTGGATCAGTTTTTGCCAGCCACTTTACAGCTTCTCTTATAATTGTTTGTTCTTTGATGTACAGTTTTGTGCAAGTACTGCTCCGTAGAGTAAATTTGAAAGTCTTTTATTAAAAATGATCCACAAACAATCACCTCATCCTACGATTGTAATCTGCCATTATCTGACAGGCAGAGGAATTGTTGGCTAAGTGGATATAGTAAGCCCCCTTGCTGCCGGTTCCACTCTACAGATCTCATTAGGCACTGGGAGATTCACAACGGCAGGCAGAGCGGACAAGCAGAGATGTGCTGTCTTTGTCTCTCCCTCTCTCTCTTAATAACACACACACACACACACACACACACACACCCTTATCACTTCTAGAATGGCACTCCTTTGACTTGAGATATTAAGTGTGCATGGTCCAAAAACTGAGCTGGAGTCGTCTTTTAAAACGTTCCTATTGTTTGTAGATATTTTGAGTGACATTTTATCATTATTAAAATCATCAATTAACACGGTTATATATTGTTAGATCTCTTGAGCATGTTATCTGTTAAACACTTGAATCGTGATGACAACGCTCTACATCAAGGGCATCAGAAGGCAGATGGAGAATTATATTTGTTCATATGCTGAAATGCTGACACAGACCACAGTGGGTGTAGGATCAATACATCCACACATTTTTGTGGTCTGATGTCTACATCGCTATCCAGTATTTCCAGAGTGCTATAGATTAGCTGTTGTCTTATGATGGTCCCACATGAGCAAAAAAAAAAAAGCTTCTTACCTAAATTTGATTTTGCTTTGTTTTCTTGGATAGACGCCAATAGCTTGGGCAGGGTATCTGCAGGGTCTTTAAAGAAGACTTAAATCTTAAAGCTAAATTTTAAGTCTTAAAAAGACTACTGAAATATTGTGTTGTTTGTTTCAAGTTTTTTAACAGGTCATAATTTTCCTTGGTATATGTATACTCAATCTGGCCATTAAAACCTACAGTATACAATTACCAACAATCCCAATCTTTTGACTTTTTAATTAAAATAGTATTTAATTACTTTTCTTACAGTTACATTTGCTTAAAAGTTCTCACTTTATTTGCTGCTGAGGATACTGACCTCACCTATATTTTTATTATTAAACTATTATTATTATGCGAGGCAATGGCGCAGTAGGTAGTGCTGTCGCCTCACAGCAAAAAGGTCGCTGAGTCGCTGGTTCGAACCTCGACTCAGTTGGTGTTTCTGTGTGGAGCATGTTCTCCCTGCCTTTGCGTGGGTTTCCTCCGGATGCTCCGGTTTCCCCTACAGTTCAAAGACATGCGGTACAAGTGAGTTGAATAGGCTAAATTGCCCGTATTGAATGTGTGTGTGTTTGGATGTTTCCCAGAGATGGGTTGCTGCTGTAAGGGCATCCGCTGCATAAAAAACTTGCTGGATAAGTTGGCGGTTCATTCTGCTGTGGTGACCACGGATTAATAAAGGGACTAAGCCGACAAGAAAATTAATAAATGAATATTATTATTATTTTATTTAATTACAACAATTGTTAATAGGGAAAGTAAAAATCTTTACCATCTGGGATATCCGAAAAAAAAATCCTTGACATTTAGCTCTGAATAAGTCTAAAATTTCCTTCATAATGGACTTAAAAATGTCTTAAGTCTTAAATTTAACTTGGTGAAATCTGCAAAAACCCTGTTGGTGCCACCTAATATTTGCTCTCTGAAAAATTGTAATTTCTCTGATGCTGAATTTAATTATTTAAAAGTGCCATAGAGTAAAAATCTGGATATTTCTAGCCATGGCTGAATAATAAGTACATGGAAATGACATGCCATGAGCCTCAAACAGGATTGTTTTCATGTAAATCCCATGAGTGTAAAATCCCAGTGAAAAACAGGCCAATTGGAACAAATGTTATGTTGCCCACGGGATCATTAATATGCATGCCCCAGGCTGAATGGCCATAACTTTTGCTAGTTTCACCCTGAAAATAAGGTATTTAAGCTCTGTTTAAATGTATCTTTTGTTCGTTTAACATGTATGTAATGAAATTGGGGTGACACTTTATTTTGATGGTCTGTTTGTTGAATTTAAGTTATATTGCATCTACATGCCAACTAATTCTCTTTAGATTATAAGTAGACTGTTAGGTTGAGGTTAGGGTTAGTGTAAGTTAACATGTACTTGAAAAGTTTCTTGAAGGAGCAGTATCAACAGATATTAAGCAGACAGTCTACTAATACCAAAGCCCCTTTAAGGCTAGTCATTTCACTCAGCAGCCATCTTTGAAATGCCTCTCAGGCAGTATGCTCACGTATTCTGTTTGTATGTGGAAACATCAAATTCTCTAAAACTGCTTGCCATTACATTTCAAATTATGAATAACTAATACATTTCTAAATGTTCATGTCACACAAAATCTGCAGAAACTCACATCTGGTTTAAGCCTCTCTCCTGGAGAATTGTCATTTTATAGTAATCGCTGATTGGCTCCTTTACTAGAAGGCGGGCTTTATTAGCCATATATCAATCGCTGATTGGCTCCTGTACTAAAAGGCGGGGCTTCATTTGCCGTATTGACAGTTACACTTTTGCCCATTCAAAGGTATACGAGTGACATGTCTTGTGTATTTTATAGTCTTTGCTAATACTCAATCGGACCATTAACATAAAGTGTTACCGAAATTTGCCTGCACCTCATCATCCTGATTTGTCATTTTCCCTAACAGGACACTGGAAAACTCAATGTTTCATACTTCCGCTTCGATATTAATGATGCTACTGGTGATCTGGACGCCAACCGGCCAGTTCCCTTCAGGCTAACACCCAACATCTCCGAGTTCCTTACCACCATTGGCGTATCTGGACCCCTTACAGCTTCAATGATAGCAGTAGCACGCTGCTTTGCTCAGCCAAACTTCAAGGTACACTTTACAGCGAGCAAGAATCATGACAAATGAGGCTACACGCTTTGTCTCCAAGGCTCTTGACCCACTCTCAATTTGTGTCTCTCTTCAATCAGGTCGATGGCATTTTGAAAGCAGTGCTGCGAGATGAGATCATCGCTTGGCATAAGAAGACGCAGGAGGACACCTCCATGCCTCTGTCCCCAGCTGGACAACCCGAGAACATGGACAGCCAGCAGCTGGTGTCTCTGGTCCAGAAAGCAGTGACGGCCATCATGACCCGCCTACACAACTTAGCGCAGTTTGAGGGAGGCGAGAGTAAAGTAAACACACTAGTAGCAGCTGCCAACAGCCTGGACAACCTTTGCCGTATGGACCCTGCCTGGCATCCTTGGTTGTAGACAGGTTTGTAAAGAGACAGACTTTAGAGCAATGCAATACTGTGAAAGTGAACGTCAATGAGTTTTTCCCACACGTTTTCTTTTTTTTTTTTTAAAGAAAATATCTAGGTTTCTAAAAATAATGTGCAGGCTGTAATTTATATATAAAAAAAGAACAGGATAATGCTTAAGATCTTTAGCGATACACATGCAGCAATTAAAAGCGGCTTTGTTTGGTCGGACAGATGCTATTGTTAAACTGATGAGCTTAGGTAAGTTCTTTTGTTGATATTGTCGGGATTGTCAGCTAAGAAATGTGACGGTACCTTTAGGAAAACACTGTTCCCACAACCACTGTTTCACACTGGAAGAGGGCGCAGCAGATATAGCAGATTTTATGCAATCCCCATCAAGCTCTCCTTTTACGCCATTTCTCTGTGACTGATGGCAGCCTTTTAGATTTAGTAGTCCAATTTACATGAATCAACACTTAACAATGTGCAGCATGTTATTATTTGTCAGTATGTCATTATTTAAAGATATCTGTGGGCATTTTTTACTTGTACACCGTGTGAAAACGACATTGCATCCCTTAATTGCTGTGTACTTTTCTACAGTTTGTGCAATTTAAAGCCGTCGTGTGTTACTGTCAAACATTAAACATAGATTTGTTTTGCAAAATACTCTGGAAAGGCAAAAACCCATGAGCCTTAAGACTGGGGGAGCTCTCTACTTAGGACATTTTTAGTTAATCATAGCGCGGATGATTTATTTATGTTGTTACCGCTCAAGGATTTTGAGCTTTGTGTTTTTAGGAGTGTCCCAAAGCATTTGTATCCCACTGGTACACCTAAAGGCATTTTTGTATACATTCCCCTGTTTTGTAAAGGTACAGAATATTGTGCCAATATATGAATAGTTACCTCTGCAATGTAAATATGCATTTTGTTTTAATAAAATGCTCTTTTTCAAGAAAAAAGAAATGTTTTTTTTTCCTGTGAAGAACTGCACCCTAGCTGTGCTGTGTGTGGATTTATAACCGACCGCATGATTAAGTGTAACGTGTGTCTTTGTGGGTGGTTGATTGAAGGACTCCTTCGGGAAGAACAACCTTGTCTCTCACTGATTGTCTGAAGTACAGGAGAGGACCTGAGTGAAAGCACGCCATGCAGTTGTTTGGGTCAGGTCAGATCTCGATCTGCTTTTCCTTTTTTATTACGTCCCGTCAATATATCTCACTGAGCGCAGTCGTCTCTGAGTTACACATGCTGTCAGCATTGGCTTCAATCCCATAAAGCATCGCTTCACCCCGTACTCTTGCACAGCACAGGTGCTTATCCTTCTTCCTCTGATCTCGCTCCAACCCCTTTCTAACATCAGTCAGGGACCATACGCTCCCACCTTTGTCCTCCTTTTGCCACCAAACAGTCCTGGGGGCTGATGTACAACTGCAGTGTCTGAACATGAAAGAGCTGCGATATTTAACTCTGCATGCGAGAGATGTGTCAGGTCGTCGCTGTGGCTGGGATGCCTCTCGCCGCATTGCCCCTTGATGTCTAGACTGATAGGAGGAGGAGGATGTGGGCAAACTGATTGATGGAGCCCCTCAGGGAGGGCTGTGATTGGCAGACACATGGAGGACAAACAAACACCACCGTCTCTACTGCCGGCACAATGATGGAGACGGAAATGTTCCTTGATGACCACATCTATCGGTTCAAATCCAGGCTGGCATTTTTGAGCAAAGTTGTCGTGTGTTCTTCCATTCAGAGGATGAGTTCTGAATCCTCCTAAACATTGTGCTGTTTTAACAGCGAAACGTAGGAATGATGGGGCTGATAGTACTCAATACTGAATATTAGGAGGGAGGGGGCTGAACTTATTCTTCACTCCAATGAAGGCAGCAATCCGCCTGTCTCTTTGGATTTTTATTATGTCAAGAACCATTCATCAAATCTAATTTTACTCCTAGAGATGTGCAGATCAGCTCAAATGTCACCTGAGTCCGATGCTTCAAACCAATCATCCACCCGCCATGTACCCACATCTCTAATTTTCTCTGATATCCGCATGCATGATTTTTTTTTAAATGAGAGTCTGCAGATTTGTGTCTTTCTCTCAGATATTCAGAAAAAATTGTAAAAAATACCAAGGAAATGGATGTAAACTTTTGACTGTTTATAAATTAATTAAAAGAAATTATTCTGGCATTTAGCAAATGTGAATAAGCAAGTAATGACTTCGCAAATAGAGTTATTTAAGTCATCTGGTGAAATTATTTTACAATGTTTATTACAGAGAAAAAAAATGATCGTAATGTAAAATTTTTCCAATGTCGCGCAGCCCTAGTTTTAAGCAAAGTTGTTTGGCAAGTCCAGTTCATTCATTACTGTTGAATTACTGCATCCAAATAAATGATTTTTGAAGTGTCATACAGATCATGACCTTGCTTCCCATTATGAGCCGAAAGCTGCAGGCTTACGATAAAATGTTTGGCTACTAAACGCTAAGCTGACATGAGCAAATGTGTCCAGAGGAATTGTCACCTATAAACCTCAAACATTGCCTCTTGCTTTTTTACACCCTTGACAAATTACAGCATCCTGTCTGAGTCTTATCCTCGATCTAAACCAGCGTGCCTTGAACCGAAGAAAATGTCATTTAACGCCTCTACACAGGATTTGAATTGGGATTGTTTTTGCTGAACAGCAGAATTCTCGTACAGTTGAGCAACTGTTATATTCTGCTGTTACAAATTAATGGCAAAAGTTTTCAAGGTGATGCTCTGTGGTGCAAAACCAGATAAAAGTCATTTCAAGGAGCGCAACCTGCTAGTACCTGAAGCAGCTGAGCTAATCGAGGATAGGTTATGGTCCTGCAACAACCTTTTTGATGGATTTAAATGAAGCAATATTTATAATTGCAATTGAAGGTGACCTCTGAGAAACTGTGGTTTGTTTATTTTAGGTGTCGTCAGAGCTGCGTCATGCAGAGTGAAGTTTTAACTTGATTGGACACAACTGCCTGTGAGTTTCCAGTAACCCTTGACTAAGTTTAATTATGGATAAGACTAAGGCCCAATCCCAATTCAAATTTTTTTTACTTCTTAGCCCTTGAAACAGTGTAAGAAGTGCTTCAAATTTTACCTGAAAGAAATGAGACAGCAATACAACACCAGCACACATCATCATATGTGATGACGAGCCTGTACTTTATATGAGCTTGATGATGGCGGCTGCTGTAGTTATTCCAGTTGCATTATTTTTTGGTATTTACTTTCAGGAAATCACTAAAGGCAACAATGTCCTGTGGCAATACGCCCATAACTGTACTGTGTATTCAGAAGGCAATGGTGTTTCCTCTGAAGTAACCCCAAAAAGTACCACCTATGGATCTGGTTCTAGCTTGTGCTGAAAAATCACAAATAACAAATCAAATATTAACTGCCAGAAATGCTCTAAGTTAAGACAATTCCAGAACATATGAAATAAAGTGCTTTAAGCACAATGACATCTATAACTAGTACCAGCAAACATTTGGACTAATTTAGTCTTAGAAATATAAGCTCTGCACTACGTTTTACAGATTTTCAAGAAAACATGCTCAAGGATCATAGTTAGCCCTCATTTAGCACTATTTTTCCTAATGTTAGAATGTGTCCCCTTAAACAACTTTTACCTGGTAATACACCACAGAGTATAACCTTGAAAATCTCCATTGGCTTGTTTCCAGGTGTTCTGGGCATTTTGCCCCATTAGTCTGGTCCTTAATTCATCCTTGAATCTTGTTTAGAGTGAAAGTATCAGCATTTTACAGTCCCTTGCAGTATCATTCATTCTTACACAGGAATCTGCTTTTACTGACCAGCTGGTTGGAGAAGTACATAAAGGGTCATTTTGTTTGGCGAGGCTAAACAACACCGCAAAGCTTCTCTGAAATGAACCTCTGCTGAAGTATTAGCTTCATTACCTGAACTTTCCCAGTGTTCCTCCTGAGATCATTCTCTGCAGTTCCTCTGTCTTTGGGTGCTTGTCAGAAACACTTCACGTCCTAAACCAATTAACCAAGCGCTTCTCCGAGTGCCCTGATCTCGTGGCAGGTTGGGAGGAGAGGCTGTTGTGCATCTGACAGGATCTCCCCCTGCTTCTCCTCCCAGTTCCCTGATTTAATTTGTTTGGTAATATGAGGATTGGCGTGTTCAGCCCAGATTCACTGCAAAGTGAAATTGGACAAGGGCATTGGAGCTTCAACATGTAAAACTGTCTCACCTTGACAGCTGGCTGAGTGGACTGAGGATTGCCTGCGGAGATACCTGAAAGGACCACACACACCAATTCATTCCGTCTTCAATAAGGGGATTCAAGGCGAACGACATTATGAAGGAGTAAACCCATGTACTGTTTGTTAAATAGAGAAAGGGACACACTTTGTAAGTATCTTCATCATTTTGGTGGTTGAGCAGTGAACATTTTCTAAATGGCTTGCTATGCATTTCCCTTTTCCGTCAGTTCTGTCAGAGAAAAAAGAAATGAGAGCTTTTTGCATTTTACTTGATCTCCTTTTCACCTCTATAAATATGTCTAGGTGGAGAAACGCTGACACTGTAACTACAACAGATAAGCAACTTATTCAGTCCAAATGTCAGTGAACATCACTTGATTCCAGCCTGTCAGGTCCTCTACAATTCATCATAGATCATGCAACTCTGATTGACATTAATGGATTCCTGTGGGAATTCGTAGAATGCCAAGTATCAAGGTACAGTAATGCATGTAGGTTTTCTTAAAATACCTTTCTCCTGTCCCAGATTATAAAGGAAATAGAAAGAAAAGAAAGAAACAACAATAAGAGCTTTCACACCTGGGTCTGGTTTTTCAAAAGGTTTAATCTGGATAAAATTGATCTGGATTTAGTAATCCTTATTATTCTTATTATCCTTATTATTAATAAATATTCTAAAAACAAAAATGTTTTCCATTGTAATGAATATATACAGTTGAAGTCAGAATTAATAGCCCCCCTGAATTATTAGCCGCCCATTTAATCCCCCCCCCCCCCCCCCCCCCCCAGTTTCTGTTTAATGGAGAGCTGATTTTTTTCAACACATTTCTAATCATAATAGTTTTATTAACTCATCTCTAATAAATGTTTTATTTTATCTTTGCCATGATGACAGTAAATAATATTTGACTAGATATTTTTCAAGACATTTCTATACAGCTTAAAGTGACATTTAACTGGGTTAATTAGTCAGGTTAGAGTAATTTGGCAAGTTATTGTATAACGATGGTTTGTTCTGTAGTCTGTTGAAAGAAAATATAGCTTAAAGAGACTAACAGTTTTGACCCTAAAATGGTTGTAAAATAATTAAAAGCTGCTTTTACTCTGCTTTTGCTGAAATAAAACAAATAAGACTTTCTCCAGAAGAAAAAATATTATCAGACATACTGTGAAAATTTCATTGCTCCGTTAAACATCATTTGTAAAACAAACAAACAAACAAACAAATCAAAGGATGGTTAATAATTCTGACTTCAACTGTATATCAGTTAGTGACAGAATAAAATGTATTGTTTTTGGTAAATTTTGACAGCTGTTTGGGGGATTATTTTATGAGGTCAAACTCTTTCTACCTTGCTGTAGGCCTATACTGAAAGGCAGAATATGTTAAAGCTTACCTAATCACTGTAGCCTGATGAATGAACAAATACAGTTAAACCTTATGAATAATTAGGATATCTTGTAAGATACTGCATGAACCAAATATAGTATTGTTTGATAAATTTTTAAAGTTTTTATTACATTTTGGGCATGAAATCCATGCTGAATCCACCCTTATGATGGGATCAGTTTAATCCAGGTTTTTTGGATCAAAGTAATCCAAATCCTATAAAGTGAAAAATCCAAACTAAAGGTTTGATCCGGATAAAAACAAGATTGGATTATGTGATCTAATCCAATTATGTAATCCATTTTTTTCTTT